TTGCTGGCCGACGGTCATGTTTGCCCATCTACACGAAAAAACGCAGGTCAGTACGGCGTCCGGTAAAGAAGATCGAGGCAATTGGGTATGGAAAAACGGTGGTGTTCCCTGCATATCCACGCCGAGACATTCTTCCGTAGCGGTGTTGACGGCCGCTTACAACATGGACAGAACCCGAAGCTTCGTGACAGCTATCATAGAGCATCCTGACAGACTGAGAAAGTACCGCTTTTGTAATCGCCTAGAAGTGCCGTCATGATGAGCAGTCCAGCAGAAGATGGCCCATAGCAAACAGAGGTGCTGCAAGATCACTCTTACCCGTATGATACGCGAAAAAACGCTCGACCGACCTCTAGACATATTGCAATGGTGTATCCCAAGGGCGAATGTCTGTCCAAGTAAAACGAGGGAGAGGCGGATCGCGATCTCAGTAGCTTCAGAAGTCCCGCCAAGCACATCCACAACGTCATATCTTCCGCCCGTTAGAGTGAAGAGAGGCGCCGGAAAAGAGGTCCCTTCGTGTGTCTGAGGTAGTGGAGAGGCGAGTCCAGAGAAGATTAAACATGCAATAGACGCATGAAGTCGCCTAGAGGATTGTCTGTGTTGGACGTAGCAGCGTGGGTCCAGATTTCATCAGTGCGCCAGCGCCTGTCGTCCAGTATGTGTCGATTAAAGTGTGCTCGACGTGGATATGCAGGGAACCCGTCACGAAACCCCTTCACGCACGTCGCCGTTCTCACGGCCACCGCAAAACGAAAGCAGACACTCACTGGCAGACAAAGTTGAGACAGATGGAGCCGTTCACGTTGAGTCCACGCCCGCTGGTATCTCTGAGATCCTGAAAGTTATCTGGAGCCTGGCATTCGTCTGTACACATGGTCAGCGACACGTTCGCCTCGAACCAGGCTCTGCACCGCACCGTCGCGATCAAACTGGCAGGGGCTCCCGACGGGGATGAGCGGTTGGCAGGACGAGCCCTCGTCAGGGCAGTATGATCCTGGCTTGCACTTGTCGACGAGCGTGATGTTCTTGGGCCATCCGAGGGGGAATTCGTCTTTGCGGCAGCCTTTGGGCTCGCAGACGCCGTTGTTACACCACGTTGTCGCGTTGCAGTCGGAGCGGTACTGGAGGGTGCCGGAGGTGAGTCCATTGCGTGCAGGGTTGCAGGTGTCGGTAGGAGTTGCCCATGCGAGGGGGAGAGAAAGGAGGAAAAGGAACGTAGAGGGCAACAACATGGCGGGAGGATGAGAGTAAGAGGATGAGATGGAGACTCCGGAAACGCCGACGCTGAGGCCGACAAGCGACGGCGGGCCGGCGATTGGACGAGCAGCGCCGCTCGTTGGCTCATGCGCCTGACTAAGAAAAGAGGACAGAGAGCGTGTCAAGTGACTCATGGCCTCTGCCATTCTCCATCACCTGCGACCTCTCTCCTAGTCCTCTCTTGCCCAGCCTTATATCAGTCTGAGGATGCTCTTGTCTCGCTCCGAACCTGCCCACACAACACACTCATCCTGCCCCCCGCGCATCTACCACAGAACGCCCGCCTCCCATCGCTTGTGCTCCTGAACAGGTGCGTGCACACGCGTCTCCACCGCGTCTTGCGTCTTACTCGAACAAATCCAGCTCTCATGCAGCTGCCGACGAGGAATTCGTCGGCTTGCCCCTATCGCGACTCCCCAACCTGTGAGCCAATACGCCGCTGCGCTTCTCTGGCGACTGACACGCTTCCGCAGCGACCTACCTTCCATCGGATACTGAAATGTACGCCGAGCCAGCGCACGGAGACTTCACCCTGGCAGAGCGTATATCGGATTCATCGTTGCTGCACCTCGTACGCGGTGTGTCAGCAAACATAAGCAGGAATGCCAGGACATATCTCAGTAGTAATCAGGACGCGTCGGCCGTCGAAAGCGTAAGTCCGAGGCGGGCTGTTTCATGATGACTTTGCACCTGACAAAATGACCGAGGCAGATGCTCGAAATAGAGCGACAACTGGCGAAGGCGAGCCTCGAATTCGCCAAGGTCATGAACGCGTTTCGCACTATCAATCGCCTCCCACCCGAAATTCTCGCGACCATCTTTTCCTTCGTCGGCTACGGCATCCCTGTGGTCACCCTGTCTCAGGTCTGCCGACGCTGGCGGCAGGTCGCCCTTCAGACCCCATGCCTGTGGACACTGTACAACACCTGCGAGCGCGAAGCTTATCTGCCGGTCTTTCTTCAGCGCTCGGGTGCTGCTCCGTTCACCGTGCAATCGGTCTTGAATCCTGAAGACGCATGTCTTCCAAAGAATATTCTTCCTCTTATCTGCTCGAACTTGGGACGGATGCGTACGCTCAGTGTCGTTTGCGCCGCAGCCGGGCCTGACATCGAAAGCTATGTCGCAGGAATAGTCCAGAAGGCGACGTCTCCTGCGACTGCTCTTCTCCGCCTATCTGTCAAGTCTTATACTCGCCTCGATGGCAGCGTGTTCGCTCCCGTATTCGGGGGCATTATGCCGGTCTTGAAACACCTTTGCCTATGCTATGTATCTATCTGGCCACAAAGCATCGTCCCCAGTCTACAGTCTCTCAGCTTGACACACAGCGCCACACCCTTGGATACTTTCCTCGACGCTCTCGAGGTCCTCCAGAACCTCCAAAAGCTCGCCATGACAGCGGTCGAGCTCACCCACAACGGACAGCTCCCAGCCAAACGCTCCATCTCTGCCCCCCATCTCCATCTGCTGCGCCTCGACGTCCCACCCCCCTCGTTCCGCAACTACGCCCATATACTCGCGTGCCTCGCGCCCGCCAAGCCCGTCTCCACCTACCTCGTCATCCAGCCACGCCACGCGCCCATGACCGTCTTCGGCGCCGCGCGCCCGGAGCCGCTCAACCTCTTTACCGCGCTCACGAAGCTCAAGCTCGAGGTCTCCGACCGCTACACATCCTTCACCGCAAGCAACGCCGCCGCGAGCGCCTTCGTCAGCTTCCACCTCTCCGCCGCCTCCGTGCCCGCCGCGCTCACGCCCGCGGGCATCCTCATGCACCCCGGCGTGCTCCTCCCGACGGAGCACATCGCCTCGCTCGCCGTCGCAGACGAGATCGACATCAACCTCCGCGGCGGGCACACCATCTGGCCCGTGCCCGTCTGGGCCGCGCTCCTCCGCGGCACGCCGCGCCTGCGCGCGCTCGCGTTCGACTGCATGTGCCCCATCGCGCGCCCCGCGCTCGCGGCCCTCGCGGCGGACCCGCACACCTGCGCCCCCGCGCTCGCGCGCATCACGTACGCGAGCGGGTTCGTCGTGCCCGGGACGGCCGGGCTCGACCAGTTGGTGGACTTTGCGCGCCCGCGCCCCGCGCTGCGCTGTGTGCGGTTCAGGAGCGCGGAGCTCGCGGACAAGGCGCGCGAGATGCTGAGCGGCGTCGTGGAGGACGTGGGCGCGCTGCGGCCCATGGAGGACCCGGAGGAGTCGGTCATTCCGATTCCGAGGTGCTTTTGGGACGAGCCGTGGAAGCATGAGTTTTTGGTTTAGGATTTGGGATTTGGGGTGGGTGCTGGTGTGGCGTGTGGGGTGTGGGGACTGGGTTGGGGTATTGGGTGTTTTGGTATTTTACCTGTAGGATTTTTTGTATGCGTTTTTTTTTCGTGGTCGTTGGGAATGGAGGACCCCAGCTCTCGTCTTGTCGTGGGTCGGGAAGATAACTTTGTGAGACACAAAAGACGTCTGTTACACCGGTACTGTGTAGCTGCTTTGGCCAGGACCGGCTGAGGAGGACTGAAGCAACACTCATATACTTCACGCGTTTGAGAAATTGATACAGTCTATCACCACCAAACGCGACACAATCGTCAAACGCGACACTCGCACTTTCCTCCCTCCTCCCTCCCCTTCGGCCATTGGAAAAAATTGCTAAATTACCTTTCATAGCTTGTGGTACTCTGTATTAAATTTTGGCAGGATCTGTTTCAGGGAGTTGGAGATATGGTCGAAAAGGTGCAATATCTACACCTATGCAAAGCATCCTTAATATATATATTGCCGTAGTATATTTGAAACACCTTCAATTGCGTGGAAAGAAATGAAGATGGTAGATAGGATACATGTCAGAAGATATACGTGGTTTTGGAGAAGTTTCAGCGTAAGATGCGCAACATAAAAATTCAGCGACAAGAAGGTGCTCGCTGGGAGCTTTCGACGGTGTCGATGATTCCATGAGCCTTACGTTTCCATCAAGAAATTTCCTGATATAGCTACAGATTTGGCTCCCACGTGCCTCGAAGTATTCAGTTGTCCTGCGATAAGATGCGATTAGATTAGCTCCTTCCTAAAGTGGGTGTCGCGTTTGACGGTTGTTGCTGCTCAACGAGTCCTTGCGCTTTTACTTAACTTTCTTGCCAAACTTCTGTCCTGATGTTCCGATGATTTTTTAGGGGGTAGGCATCGTATGCTTCTATGTCTATGCGAAGTTTCAAATCCGAAATTGATGCTAAAAATATTCAACACGCAAGATACATTTGCCTGTCGCGTTTGGTGGTGATAGACTGTAACAAAACAATGGCCATTCCACAGCAATGACTACATCACATATACACAAAACCAACCACAAAAGAACGCAACACATCACACAAAACCACCCCTCCAAAGATAATCCATCAGACAAACGCGCACCCGCGAGCAAGCCCCCCGCGCACCCTAAAGCGCACAGAGCAAGACCCGCCCCACGTCCTCGAGCGCCCGAAATGAACGCATGTTCTCGGTATAACGGGTGCGCGCGACGGTCATCGCCTGGATATGAAGGATGCGGCATGTGTAAACATGCGAGACTCGAGTTAGTTTCTATAGAATAGATCCTAGCTGAGTATGTTCTGAGGAAAACGGGGTGTCCGGCGCGCGGTTATGAAGGGTGTGTGTTTAGGGCAGGCGGGGAAGTTTTGGGCCACGTGCGGGGTGTCGCGTGTGCGCGGCGGCGATGTAATGAAATGGGCATCGATTGTTAATGGCGGCACTTTGTCATCGCCCGTTTAGCTCAGTGGTAGAGCGCGCCACTCGTATCCCGTTATGCGATGGTGAGGTCGGTTGTTCAATCCAGCCAATGGGCATTGCAGGCGGCTGGAAAAATGTTTTTACTTTTGCATATATACCCAGGAGAACAAAACGCATCGACACACAGGTGCACATTGTCAAGAACCCGTCGTAGCCCGTTTAGCTCAGTGGTAGAGCGCGCCACTCGTACGTCGAGGCTAGCTTCGAGGTTCATGGTGAGGTCGGTTGTTCAATCCAGCCAATGGGCATATGAGGATTCTTCTGGGCATATTTTGGATGTCGGTGGGCGGACGTCCAGCAGATGGGACCTGCCGACAGTCACAGGCACACAGCGCAGCGGGGAGGCCATTTTGTCGAGCTGCGTGTGGAGCATTGGGTTGCGTGCACATGCCGTGGGGTGATAATGATTGGGAGGTCGAATAAACAAACACGCGAGGCGTGTTGCTAAACATATGGTCGGTAACGACAAGGACAATACATGAGAGAAAATGTTTTGACCCCGGGGTAATCTCTCCGCAGTGCGCAAAAAAGAGCGTGCAGCGCCCGCAGGAACAAGATGGCCACTAGTGCCTCTGCAGCCCACGACGCGCACAACCGACCGAAGACTGCAATTGCATCATCGAAACGCGCATGCTGGCATGCTGTGCGGCGAGATCAAGGGGTCTGACTCTCAGAGGCGGGCAGATCGCTGATCATGGTCTCTCGGGGGAAAGGGTGATGTCGGATACGGAAGCTGTGGTCGTAGACAACATGCATATGGATCCCTGGATCGGTGATGTTTTGGAGAGAAAGCGTAGGCATGCGGTCGTGATTTGAAGAGCGCTGAATGTTTTGGGCGACGCTGGAGGTGGTCGCCGGCAATTTTGAGGGGGAGCATGAGTAGCGCGCGTTAGAAAGATGAGAGAGCGCCTGCATGCAGACACTAGAAATACAAAAAATGGAAGATACTCCGAAGAAGCATGTGCTCGTGGTTCAGGCTTCAGCATTTCAGCGTCTTGTGGTGCGTGGAGGCACCGAACGCGTCGCACAGCCTGATATGAGCGAAGGGGAGATGGAATGAACAGTCGCAGTGAGGAGAGCGTGGGTGCGGCGGTTGCTTCACAGCAGAGTGTTGTACGGGACGAGCAGGACGAACATTCCAGACGTGAACTCGAGTGTTCGGCAACTCGGAGGCGAAGGTGCCAAATAGACTCTGGTCCTATGGAGCGAAAAACCGCCTTCAACGACGCGCATTTTCGGGCTACGTGACGTCACCTGGGCTGGCCTACACTCCATCGCTCCCCGTCGGATATTTCGGTTCATGAACGTCTTGCGGTGCTTGCGCACACGTCGAAGCTCAATGGTTCCTTGGAGAAATACATACGGGGAGCATGTTGCGTCAACAGGAGTGTGTGTCAAGTCAAGAGAACTGTATTCACTCCTGCCTGGACGAGCCTTTCTGTCTCGAGGTTCGAGACCATGGTGCTGTCCAAGCTTCCCCGCAACGCAGCCTCGCCAAGATGTTTGCGGTGACGGGCATGTGCAGACGGGCGCTGGAGACCGGCGGGGAAGAGCGCCGGCGAGCAGCGAGCGCTTTAATTACGCTAGTGGATGTAATGCGGCCGGCGTGTTTGAGAAATGGATCCGGAGGTGGTGAGGGTGTCTGTGGCCGCCGCGAGCGAGGATGGCGTCGGCTGGCCAATTATGCAGGATGATAAGCGCCAGAAGAAGCGGAAAACGGAGAAAACGCGACCGCGAGCAGAGAAAGAGACGCCGGAACGTGGCGGGAGCTCGAGGACGCAGCGATACGAGAAGGGTGTGCGCGTGCGCGTGGCAGCGATGGTGGGGAGATAAGATCTGGTGCGCGGGGAAAGGCGCCGGGATGTTCCTGAATTGAGATTAATGAAACGGGCTGTCGAGTCCTCGGGATCGTTGCTGGCGGCGACGGCGACGAAGTGAATGCTGCGAGGGCAGCGGAGGCGAAAAGCGACGGCGACAACACAGAGTTGTCGACAACCAGGGCAGCCGATACGGGCGGAGCGGTGCAGGAGGCGATAGGACGCCGGCCGGAACGGGCCGCAGGAGCACGTGCGGGGAAGGGGATGATCAGACACAGAGTTGGGACAACACAGCCTGCTCGACCTTGTTCTGTATATACACCCATGCCTCCTTTATAACCTTCGCGACGACGACGACGACGACGACTCGACGACGAACAGCGCGCGACGAACCCTCACGCTCCGCTCCATCATTGCCTTCCTCGGAACTTCTTCTGATAGATCTCCATCTGTCGACGAGTCTTGACTGGAACAACCCATCATTCCCCCGTCTCTTATTGTTTCCCGCCACTTCCCCTCCTCTCCCCCTTTCCCCTCTCCCGCCACCCAATGCCAGTCTCCTCGCGCTCACAGCGCGCAGAAGCAAAGTACAACGTCGCCACCGAATGTGCGTCCTCGTGCCCCTTTCTCTATCTGCTTCTCACTCACACCCCGCAGTTCCCCACCTCGGTCTCCATTCTGCAGCCTCCACGGGCAACATTGGTCTCGTCAAATATGCTCTCTCTCATGGCCAACCGATCAACTCTGTCATCGACGGCGTTCTCCCCCTCCATGCGGCCTGCTCTGGCGGGAATACCCTAGTGGTCAAGCTCCTCATCGACAGTGGCGCAGACGTCAATGCTCCAAGGCGAGTCCCGTATATCCTATTTCTCTCTCTCCTTCGAACATTCTGCGTCTGGTGCGTGTGCACCCTCCGTCTCGACTCGCCTGGGTCGATTGCCGCCCGTGCAGTCAGCGCATGCCTGTTTGAGACGGGTGCGTGTACGCGACAGTGCTGGGGGGCCCTTTTCCAGACGCGAGCCCGCGCGCTGTGTTTATCGCAAGTGCGGCAACGTCGCTTACCCCGCGCCACGATCAGTTTTATTTGGGGCGAGTTGCGGGGGCTACGTATTCACACCAGGGCCGTCCGGCCCTATCGCCTTGTCTCTATGCACTATGAATCTTAGAGGCATCTTTTCTGTGCGGAACGGCTCTTGTCTTGATTTCTATTGGTGGCGTTAAGCAACCAATATCGCCTCAACGGGTATGCGCCCGTATGATGGCGACGTCGAGACACACATGGCCGCTGTCCGCGTGTCGTTCTCTGTGAATCCATAGCTAACACATTCGTCCTCCTATCCAGACTTCCGCGTCGATACTCTCCTGCAGCACCACGCTCGTCCGGCAGCGTGCCACCCGGGCCTATCATCGGCACCTCCGGTAGCACGCCGCTCCACTTCGCCGCCGCAAATGGCCATACCGCTGTTGCCCGCCTCCTTCTCCAACATGGCGCCCGCCCTGCGCGTCCCGACAAGCACGGCGTGACGCCCGAGATGCTCGCACGCCGCTGCGGCTGGATAGACTGCGCGGACGCCATCGCCGAATTCGTGCGCGAGAAGGACCGGGACCTGCGTGAACGCGAGACCCTCCTCGGGCTGCCGGATGAGTACAAGGACACGAAGGACAACAAGGAATGCGTGTGCATGTGGAAGCGCGACCGCCACGGATCGACGTGCAGCTGCGAGACCGGCGACACCCGCCGCCTCCTGCATGTGAAGCGATCCATCGACAACGTCGTGCATGCACTCAAGCCGTCGACTCCCTCCACCCACACACACTCGGTGTCGCTCTCGAGCGCCTCGTTGCTGTCGGGTACGACCAAGCGCGGGCCGTCGCCGGAGGATGGCACTCACAGCCCTCACACCCCCGACTCGATGCGTTCCGCGCACTCACCTTCGCCCTCCGCATTCCCACCACGGCGCCCATCCCTCCCCACAGACGAAGTCCCGCGCAAATCCACATCAAGCAGAAAGAAAGAGAAAGAACGCCGCCCCAGCTCGGCCGGCACCGGCGCGAGCGCGAGCCCGGCCGGTGTGCGGAAGCTCGGGTCCAAATACTCGCTGCTCAACCTCTTCAGACGGGGGAGCGCCGAGCAGGAGCGCGAGCAGGCCGAGGACGGCGCGGCGGACGAGTTCGCGAGCGACGGCCGCAATGCGTCGGTGGAGAGCGTGCGCCCGGGGATCCTGAGGGGCCACCAGCGGGCGTCGTCGGGCCCGAGCACCCCCAACTCGCAGGTCCTGTCGACCACGAACGGCAGCATCGGCACAGGGCAGGGCTCCGGCCGCGCGCTGCGATTCGACAACTACAACTGGGATGCGCGCTCGCGGTCGCGGTCACCGGGGCGGCCGGATATCAACGACGGCGCGTTCGCCGAGGACGACGAATTCGACGACGACGACGAGGATGACGACGACGACGACGAAGACGAGGAGGAGTACGGGCAGCCGCTGCCGCGCGCGACGTTCGGGTTCGGGCTGCGCCCGCGCGGGCAGTCGATGAACTCGCAGCTCTCGCGCTACTCGATCTCCGCGGACGAGCTCGCGGCGGGGCGCGCGGCGTTCCCGTTCAGCATCGACGGCCCGCCGCCGGACGAGCAGCTCGCGCGCGGGCGCGGGCGCGGCGACTCGATGAGCAGCACGGGGCCCAGCAGCGGCCTGCCGACGCCGCCCGCGGGCGCGCCCGCGCTGCTGTACGGCGGCGCGGGCGGCGCGCTGATTGCGTCGCCCGGCTCGATGGTGCGCGAGCTCCCCGGCGACGTGTCCGTGTCCGTGTCTGCGCCGACCAAGTCGCCGCGCAAGGCGCTCGACATCGACATCCGTGCGATCTCGAGCCACGCGCAGGCGGAGGCGCTCGTGCAGCGCACGCAGGCGTCGATCCTGGAGCTCGGGGCGGAGCCGGCGGACGGCGGGCTGCTGAGTGCGCGCCTGGCGGCGTACGGCGAGAGCCTGGCGATCGAGCGGCAGCTGAAGGCGCGGGAGATGGAGCGGCGCGGGAGCGAGGGCAGCGTGTGCACGAGTGCGAATGGGAGCGGGAGTGCGACGGGCAGCGGCGAGGCGACGGTCACCGTGAGCCGAGCGGGCGAGAGCGAGGTCGAGGGCCGCCCGTTCGGGCTGCGGCCGAAGGGCCGCTCGGCGAGCGCGACGCTCGACCGCGAGAGCATGTATGCGGCCGCGGGGGCAGGTGGTGGCCGCAGGCGCACGGCGACGGGGAGCCTTTCGCGCTCGGGGAGCTTGGGCCCGCAAATTGTGATGGATGTCCCTCAGGAGAAGAAGACGGGCCGCTCGCGGACGCGGAGGCCGCATACGAGCGGCAGTATGTCTGTGAATGACGAATGTACGTCTATCTCGTGTCTCTCTTGGTGGCTTGTGGCTGATGCCATACCCGCAGTCATGCCTGCGTCGGCCGAGTCGGACCACGCTCTGCATCATCACCACCACCACCATCACCACCACCACCGCTCACGATCTGCAGCTCCGCCTGCAATCGCCATTCATCGCGACCCGGACTCGGAAGAGGATGATCTCGCGCGCACGAGTACACACACCGGCCGCACGCCCCCGTCGCCCGCGCCTGCGCTTTCGACTGCCCGCGCGCGGACACCCGACCCCGGGATCGAGCACGCACCGATAGAGAGCGCTGCGCCGCTGTGCCGCGTGCTGTCCGCGCCCGACCGCGACCGCGACGTTGCGTTTGCGCGCGCGAACAAGCTGGCGAAGATGGGCTTTGCGGGGGCCGATCAGCCGCCGCAGCCGCAGACGGCGCATGTGATGCGGTTCGGAGGGAAGGGGCTCAAGTCGCTCGTAAGGACGTTGAAGGGCAAGTCGTAGGCTTCTGGCCCGTTGTGCATCATCATGCTTGATGCGTGATGGACTGTGATATCTTGACACCTCTGCATGGACACCAGCGTCTCTCTCTCTCTCTCGTTCTCCTCTTCATTGCATAGCTGCCGCATCCCCCTCCACCACCCCAGTATCATTTCCATTTCCACTCCATTGCCAACAACATTGTCATCACCACCGTCACATTTTCTTGCTTTCTTTCTGCCCTTTTCTTTCCCCTTCTGTATCGTATGTATATGCTCTGCTTCCCCCTCCTGCCGCCGCGGGGCACGACACACACACACACGTCGAAGCCAGTGCCCATTCTTCCTCCTTTGCTGTCCCCCATTTTTTCTTCCTCTTCTCGCGCTTTCTCGTGTTCTTTTGCTCTTCGTTCTTCCCTTCTTTCTTGGGCTTGTACTACCGTGTTTCTTTGCTCCTTCCTTGCCCTGCCCCATGTTTCTGTATTTGCGACCCGGTCTGTGTTTGTACGTTTAAGTTATGCATTGTCGTGTTGTACAGTATGTCTGCTCGGTGTTGTCTGTGGATTGCTTTCAACGGTGAGTATGTTTTCGCGGGCCGACCAATCGCCTTCCAGTTCGTTTCCGTGACGAACCCAAGGTAACGCCGTGACTTCTATCCGTTACGCGTCACGCGCCACGCGAGAGAAAACGACATTCTCTGAATTCCTTGCCATGGGCCATACAACGTCTCACGCAATTCGTTCTACGTATGTTCGCGTTCTTTTCTCCCGGCATTCTGGATGAGACACAGTCGAAGTTGATCAACAAGGATGTTCCTGATTCAGACTCGACAGCGCGGGAGGCTCGCGACCAATTTCAGCCAGTCAGGCGTCCACTCGGAATGAACGTGAGGTTGGGTGTCTTGCTCTTGTAGCTGGGTTCGTGGCGTCTGGACACCTCGATCCCACCCGACTCGGTACGCCTGAGTACTACCGGCCCATGCAGGTCTACGCAATTGCCCAGGCCGGAGTGGATGATCATTAAGGTGAGCGGATGGGCGCGGGTGTTTCAGATTGGGGTCGACCGGTACCAGGCTAAAGACAGCGACAGGTGCGAACATGGAAGCAATCAGCCCTGCGGCGCTACACTGCGAGCAACTGTGCAGGAATGCTCTTGATCATCATCTGGGTCAGGCGCCGCGGCTGCCGATCGCCTCCCCGCACTTGCGCCTGCGGCCCCGGGCGACTGAATGCCGCCCTTCGCCGCATATTGCATCATCGGCGCGGGCTGAGCAGAGGACTGGAACGCTGCTTAGCTTCCGCCTCCGCCGTTAGCCATTACGACGCCCGGTCCTGGGTGCCTTATAGCCTGAGGGGTCGCGTCGTTGCTAAAGTATAGGAGGCTGCGCTGCGCTCGTATCTGTACTTGGACCACGCCTTCCATCCCCGGCCGCCTTCTCTCCGCCATCTGCCCGTTCTGCAGACCACCGTCGACGTCGACAGTGCGTCTGTACACCGACATCGCATGCCCCCCTCGTCCTCCGAGTCGCTAGACCCTCTCGCGCTTGCAGTTGCGCCGCCGCCCGATGAGACTCCGGAGGAGCAGGCACAGCGCGAGCAGGATGAGAAGGAGGCAAGGCGCCAGAGCGAGATGATTGACGAGCAGATCAGGGCCGAGCGGAACGCGGCGAAGAAGAAGAAGCCACCCGTCAAGGTGCTCATGCTTGGGCAGAGCCAAAGCGGTCAGTCTGTCCTTGCACATCTTGACGCGAAGAGCTGGCGGCTCACGCTGCGCACCTCGCCGCCAAGGCAAGTCGACCACGATTAAGAGTACGTCGCGCCCGCATTGCGCGTTCGTGTCACGCCGGGCGCGGTGCTGATGTATTTTGTGTTGGGCAGATTTCCAGATCACGCACGCGAATAGCGCGTGGGTCGAGCAGCGCATTGCATGGCGCGCCGTCATCCATCTCAATATGGTCAGCATGATCAACATCATATGCAGGATCATGGGCAAGGAGATGGGGCAGCAGAACGCAGGCGTGCCAGACCCGTCGCAGGTGGAAGAGCAGATACCGGAGGAAGAGCAGGCAGCCGAAGATGACGACGAGGGAACACCATCGTCTGCCCAGGGACTACCTGGGGGGAGCGATGAACCCACCCCCGAACCCGAATCAGCTTCCAAAGCCATCTCGCTGGATTTTAGTGATACACACCATGAACTCAAGTCAGCGCTCTCTCCTCTGATACAGGTTCAGGAAGATCTAGAGACATGGCTTGGCCAGAGCTGCAGCCGGAGCGAGCTGCAGGGCCCCGCCACGCCGTTCATGGATGAGGAGGCGAAGGACCTTGCAACCCGGCGGCGCAATCCCACGCGTCCACGCGAGTTCTTCGTGCGGTCAGCGAGCTCTTGGAAGGCTGCGATACTGGCCATGGGAAGCTCGCACGAGACGCAGGAGCAGAAGCTTGAGCGGATGGTGGAGATGGTGAAGATAATCGTTGGGTGCAAGAAGCACATGATACAGCTTTGGGCGGACACGGTGGTCCAGGATATGCTGTCGAACCGGAAAATTCGCATGGATGAGCAGCCTGGTTTGTGAGTCACCCATCTTGTATCGTCTCGGGGAGGCTTGGCTCGATCATCTATACCTTCGCAGTTTCTTGAACGATATCAATCGAATAGCGGTCGAGGATTATGAGCCTACTGATGACGATGTTGTTCGTGCTCGTTTGCGGACTATGGGCGTACAAACTTACAAGCTGGTCATTGAGCATGGTTTGTCTCAGTACAGCTGTCTGGTTTCACCATCTTATGATTACATAGGGCAGGAACGAGGTCGCGAATGGATAATGTACGATGTTGGGGGTGTACGGTCCCGCGTACGTCCACTCCTCATCTTGATCCGCACATAATTGACTAAGTAAGACAGAGAGCGGCCTGGTATCCCTACTTCACGGATGTGAACGCGATCATATTCATGGCGCCCATATCTGTGTTCGACGAGCAACTGGAAGAGGACCACCGCGTAAACCGTTTGGAGGATAGCTATATCCTGTGGAAGGCCGTTTGCTCTTCGAAACTCCTGTCGAAGGTCGGTTCATTCACATGCCACCGACTAATCGACCTATAAGTGCAGCTTGCCTGTCTCATAGGTGCAATTGATTCTTTTTCTCAACAAATGCGACGTACTGCACAGCAAGTTGCAGCGGGGAATCAAGGTGCGGCGCTTCGTGCCGACATTCGGCGACCGTGAAAACAACGTGCCTACTGTCGCGAAATGTCAGTTCTATCATCCCAGTCGTGCCCCTAGTACACGCCCTAACTTCCAGACAGACTTCCGGAGCCAGTTCCGCGATATCTTGCGCAGGTGGTCCCCAGAGCCCCGCAGTTTCTACTCGTTCCTCACATCCGTGACTGTAGGCGCTGTTCTAATTCCCCGCGGCTTTGAAGATTGGGCTGACGTCGCAGTTCAGGATACCAAGTCTACCGCGGTCACGATCAACGCAGTCCGGGAGGGCATCCTGCGCAATCAAATTCAAAATGCCGAGCTCATTTGAATTTGCACTTCCTGTGTGCTGCCGCAGGCCCCGCTGCGAGACGGCTACAGAATCTCAACGTATCTACGGGAAAGGACAAGTGTCGTATAACTTTCTTTTTGCATTCTCGTCTACGCTACGTCCTGTTGATAATTCATATGTATAGTATATTATACGACTTCTCATACCGCTTGCATAATGCTCAACAATAATCGATGGTCATCCAACCCGTTTGTTGTCCGCGTTCGACTTCCCCCCATCGACGAAATGGAATATATACTTACGGCGAAGTGACTCTGTTAGTATTGTGATGAAGTCGAAAAAAGTAGTTACCGTCACACTGCTGAATGCCCATTGGCTGGATTGAACAACCGACCTCACCATGATCCTCGATATACGAGTGGCGCGCTCTACCACTGAGCTAAACGGGCTTGGTATGTTTACCTGCAATAAATATCCAGTGGTTGACCGATTCAATGCACACCAAGAACGGACTCATTCCCGACTCGGACAATATTGGTCTGGTTCCATGAGGAGTTTTCCGATGTGTATCCGAATAAATCTCATAGCTCTCCAATCGCGGGCAAATCCAAACCCTAGACACAGCCAGACCTCGTGGACGCAAAGATATCAATAAATTAGACAGGATCAAGATCAACAGTATAATGTACAATAAAACGTGGGATACAATAAAACGTGGGATACAATAAAACGTGGGATACCGAAAGACTGAATTCACAACGCGATGTCTGTGCCTTTCCGTGATAAATGCTACGACGGTCCATGATACGAAGGCATCGGCATCTTTGGGTCGTAGGCAGGGTGCGTGTAGTCCACCTCCGTGATCTTGTCATTGTACGCCGGGAGTGTATCCGTCGACTGGGGTGGGTATAGTTGCAGGGGATACTCGGAGCCGCCAACCTGCCCACGATGCTCCGCACTCAGTGTCAACGGCTGAGCAGCTTCCTCGCGCTCGGCGGCGTCCACAGGTGCTTCGGAATCTGCGACCCCCCGCTCCGTACGCCGTCTTCTGAAGCGAATGCAGAGCCATATAGTTAGGGCCAGGACGGCGATAGCAGCTGTGCAGGCGGCCTATTAAACACGGACGGCTACGGTCAAATGCAAGGATATGGCGCACCGACGACAGCCGCGATTATGCGGCCTGTTTTTGATGTCGGGCATGGTATTCGCTGTTGGCTTTCGCGGTGGGTTTCAAGTCAGGGTGCATTTGTTTGGAGAAAGGCCATGGTGCTGATGCTTACTGTGCGTCGTAGCATTGGCGGGAACTGTGCGAGACAAATAATATTTTTGCGTTTCTTGATGCATTTCTCGCTGCATTCGTAGTTGCTTTCTTCGCTTCCCTGGCTAGTACTCCAACGAGCGAAGTCATGTCTGCTACTCGTATACGCTATCTCAAGAGCATGGCGTAATAAGCTAGCATGTTCAGTCAGATATAAGATCCAAGACCACTAGACTCACTGAGGCCGCCTACTTGCTCTACTGCACGAGATCACTACACGGAGACGGAGATGCGAAAGGGTTCGAAAGGACGGGAGATGCCTAGATACCAGGGGAGGCCCTTATAGCATTCAAGCATTAGGCACAGCACCGCCACATGCCTGGCCCGAGGGCGCCTAACTATCAGTTGAAGTTCGAGCGTAGAGACATCGGTCATTTGCGGTGCTGCACGCGCTTGAGCTGGTACAGAAGAGGTATGGCTTGCAAATAAGTACATTAGACAGGATCAAGATCAAGAGTAGAATGTACAGTAGAACGTGGGATACCGAAAAACTTCACAACGCAATGTCTGTGCCTTTTCGTGATATGCACTAGGACTGCCCATGATACGAAGGCATTGGCACCTTCGGTTCGTACGCGGGGTACGCATAATCCACTTCCATCTTCTTGTCATCGTACGGCGGGAGCGTATCTGTCGACTGGGGCGGATATTGATAAGGGGGATACCCAGAGTTGCCGTCTTGCCCATGATCGTGATCGTGATGCTCCAAACCCTGTGTCAATGGCTGAGCAGCTTCCTCGCGCCCAGCAGCGTCCCCGGGTGCTTCGGAATCCGCGACCCCGCGCTCGGTTCGTCGTCCTCTGAAGCGACAGAAGAGCCATAAACCTAGAGTCACAAGGATAACAGCACCTGTGCACGCCGTTCATTACACACAAATGACTACGATCAGAGTCGAGAAGATGTGGCGCACCGACGATAGATGCGAGAACGATTCCGACTATGCGGCCTGTTTTTGACGTCGGGCATGGGATTCGCTGTTGGCTTTCGTGGTGGGTCGCAAGTCAGTACGCGAGATCTGTTCCGAGTCGGAGAAAGGCGATGGTACTGATGATAATGCTTACTGGGCGTCATAGCATTCGCGGACGGTGTGCGGGACAAATACAGTTTTTGTTTTTCTTGATGCTTTCCTCGCTGCATTCGCAGTTGCTTTTTTCGCTGCCCTGGCTAATACTCTAACAAACGAAGTCATGTCCGCTCGTAGAGTCTAGACGCAGTATCCCGGTTCTGTGGCGTGATAAGCTGCCGCTAATCGGAGTGTTCAGCCAAACCTAAGGTACAAGGTGGCTCAAGTTACCGGAGTTCTCTACTTGCTCTGATGCACCAGGTCGCTACAGGAGGGTAGGGGCACGGAAGGGTTTGAAAGGACTGGAGGTCATCGGAGAATTCGCGTCTGGCTTGTATCCAATTGTGGGGCTTGTAATGCGGCAGAAGATGCCGAGCCAATGCCAAGCAGCTTGTATCAGTGGCGCTTGAATTTTAGACCTTACGAGCCCGAACATTCTTGTGAGACTCTTGCAATCGCAGGTAAGTCGTAGACAATCTCGCAACATGCTCATAGGCATCGTGCAATCCCAAACAACCTCTCCGTACCCTCAAATTCTTGCGCCCCTCTCATTCTCGTGATTTCGGCTCTTCACCTCGTGAGTCTCGAACAGTTTTCAAGCTCCGTTTTCCAACTCAGCATCGTCCAGGACAGTCGGTGGCCTTCGAATCCCCCGCAGCTCTCACCTCTTTTATATCTCCTACGAATAGTCCCTCCACTGATCATTACTTGTCTTGAAGCTTCAAGCATCAAGTCTCGAGTCGCACTCATTCCTTGGTTTTCTGGCCTATTATCTTCTTCCGTCCGCACACCCTCCTACGTGTTCTCCTATACTCGCGCTCTCGACCTCTCGCCTGCTCATGCGTGCTCGACTATTATCTCGCCCTCCCGCTAACCCTCTTGTGAAACCTCTGGGAACACTCTTCGCAATCTCTGTCTCTCTCTCTTCCATGGTTGTACTCTTAGCTGTTCTCAGCTGTCCTCGCACGCTTGCCTCTGGCTTCTGGTGCGCGCGCGCTCGTACTCCTCATCTACATGCCCTGGATTCCTCGTGCTTACTCTCGCTGGCACCTCTTTGCTCAATCTGACACTCGCCTTCACGAGCCTTTCTTACTTTCTCGTGCTGCGACAGGTATCTGCGCCCCGAGTCCTCGATCGCACACCGACTCTGGTCGATCGCGTGCCCCACACCTGCTCTCGCTCACAGTTTCCTCGCATCTAGTATATTCTGATATCATCTTTGCTTTTGGGGCCTTGCGGCTGCTATAGTTTCCCTACGTGTAATTGTGCAATATAGTGATGTTTAATCCCAATGTGTGAAACGTGGCAAATAGAAAATTGAGCAATGCAACGAGGGCTACAACTGTCTGCTAATATATGGCATATCTTCCGAAGCTCTTAAAATCTTGTTATGTGTCAAAATCTATTCTCAACTTGCCAGCCGCTATATACCGAATACAAGCAGCCTTTTTGCACCTTATATGCGTCACTCAGCGCTGTAAGCGATTGTGAGCCTTTCAGCGATTGTGGGTCTTGTAAGCGGTTACAAGGTTCTTAGAAGTGCTTTTCCCCACGCGCACATTTCTCCGATGGTGTCTACACTCCAGGGCAGAGACCCTTATATATAAGTACGCCATAAGGTGCGCACTTTCGCTATAATAGGCGTCGCATCGCCACTCGCCCGGGCCGCCCATGTATCAAGTACTCGCCAATCTGTGAGCGGTACAAGCGTAAAGATATCGGCCAATTGCAGGAATTGCGGTGCTGCACGTGCTTGAGCGGATGCATAAGAGGTAATAACAGCGGCGGTATCCTCAGGCTCGCGACATCTCTGCAGTGCACTGCCTGTACAGGCCGCTGGGCGGTGTTAATGGTCTCGAAGCCGACGCCGAGACAAGCGTCCTCAGGAAAAGGAAGACCGTCTCTGCGCGTTGAGAAATCCAACTAGACAGGCATACGATGGACAACCAGAGAATAAGTAAACCTAATAATCGGAGGCAATGCTTTCGCTTGCCAGTGATGTGGAGTAACCTTGCATGCTGGTGATCGTTGATCGAGAATATGTAGGAAATTTACCAGGGTCGAGAGTGTTGGTCCGGAATTACGAAGTGCTCGACAGACCCCCAGGCCTGCAAGTGCTCACCATGAGTCAGGAATCGCACCGTAATTCTATGGCACAACTCGCGCAAGCACGAAATCACAGTCATATTTGTGGCGGGTTATTCATCGTAAGGGCAGTTCTGGTGGTGAGATCTGTTCGCCACGATCACACTGGCGGCTGGCACCTCGAGGGAGCCTTAGCAGTAACGCCCTGGCCACTTGAACTATGCACCGGCTCTTCATCAGGCCTCTTGATGCTAGTATAAGCAGCGTACAATGGCAGCGGCGCACTCTCGGGATGCAAGGGCTGTTGGACGTTTCCTGAAGATGTCGGCAGCTCTTGCAATCTTACCTCGTTGTGCCTCCTTGTGCGCCTTAAACAACGCCACGGGCATCGTGCACAGTACAACAAAAGAAGTATAATAATCAAGGTGAGCGCTGTGGCATATGCATGATGAGGATGAACCTGGAATCGAAGATGCTGTTGATTGCTTACCGATGCCCCCTGCGATGGCACCTCCCACAATCTTCTCTGTCTTCGAGTAATGGCATTTAGTGCGAAGTCCACTTCGAACATATAATTAGTTTCATAGTACGCGTCTAGGAATGACTGTGAATACTGACTGTGAATTGACGCAGTAATGCGAACGCGGCCAATTGGAGCTGCTCAATTTCTGATCAGTGAGTGGTGTCTCCATGGCGGACAGGACAGCTCGGTGAGGAGGACCAGATGAAAAGCTGAGCATTGGGCAGCATCGGTGTGATATAAGGGGGATTACTGTTGTTCGTTGTTATGACCATCGATAGGACAATAGGCAGCCACAAACAGGACTTACAGCTTCCATGCCTCTGGAAGTCAAAGAAGGGACCCAAGGAGACCGATCATAGGACGCAAAGCGAGCCGTCAGAGGCAAGTTCTGGTCAAAGTGGAAGATAATTGGGGTACGAACAAACTTGGAACAAAGCGATTGCCTACCAGGTACAGACTC